AGCCATGTGGTTTATTTTAGGAGCTCACCTTCTGCCCTGTTTTACCATCTTTTGAGGATGTAGTTAAAAAATCATGTTAGTTTTTTTCCTCCTCTGAGTAAAGAGGTAAAATTCTTTCTGAATCTTGTTTGTGTTGCTTATTAATGGGGAGAGATGAGTTTATTTCTGGTTCAGAAATCACATAATTCTAAATGTAATGGAGGAGTAATTATTTTGCTTAATTAGTATGTATTGATATGATATTATTATGTTTCGGTTGATTGATAACTTGATCAAAACATTATTTAGTAAACTCACAAAATAATCCCTCAATGCAATTTGAAGGATCTCTATAGTTTGTCACTTAAAAAAAAAAAAGATTAGCTACAAATAAGTCACCATCAAAGATTCTATTTATACATATACATATACATATATATATATATATATACACAGAGATATCTACCCACAAGGAAGAGAGTCTAGCTAGATTGCCTCATTCCATGTTTCTATAAATATTCAGTAGTTGACCCTTGGATATGCAATTATAGACCTAATCAACTACCAATTTGACTGTACAACTCTATTGGTACATAAATATATAGATTGAGGACTCAGAAGATTGTGTTATTACACATTGAATTAGGAAATACCCAAATATAGTTACATAAAATATATGAGATAGTGCATAAAAATTAGCTTATGGTAGATTTGGTGAATAAAGCAAACATATTATGGGTAATAATTGATTTAGATGAGAAAAAAAGGCGACCAAGTCAAGAAAAACTATCTTTATCTCCAAAGGAATAAGAAAAAAATGGGAGTTGTTATTTTTGGGTAATCTTTGATTTTTAACCATTTTCTGTCTGGTTTTGAGTAAGCTTGGTTGGTTCAAATCTCCAATTAACCTCAAGCCTCACAAACACACAAAAAATAAGGCAACTTCCTCATTCCCTTGTTTATTGTGACAGTTTTGGAATTTGTCACCTTCTCTCTTCCTCCTCATTTGCCCAGGCGTTGAATGAAGAGGAAGATCTATGCAATTCATTATCCCTCAATTAACAAAAATTCTAATCTTATCTTCAACTAATCATTACAAAAAATCTCTTCTTTGATCGACCCATTTGAGAAAACAGGAAAGCAGATAAAACCCCTTTGAGAAAACAAGAAATCAGATAAAACCCATATCTTAGAATATATAATCAAAAGCCAAGATGAATGACTTGTTCTCCAGTTCCTTCAAGAAATACACAGACCTCAAGCAGCAGGCCTTTATGGATGACATGGAGGCTGGTGGGGAGACAATGAACCTCGACAAGTTCTTCGAAGATGTCGAGAATGTTAAAGAAGACATGAGGACTGTTGAGAATCTGCTGAAGAAACTACAAGATGCCAATGAAGAAAGCAAGACTGTCCATAATGCCAAGACCATGAAGGAGCTGAGGGCCAGGATGGACATGGATGTTGAGCAGGTTTTGAAGAAGGTGAAAATGATCAAAGGGAAGCTAGAAGCTTTGGAACGTTCCAATGCCACCAGCAGAAACGTGCCTGGCTGTGGCCCTGGCTCGTCCACAGACCGAACCAGGACTTCTGTGGTCAGCGGATTAGGCAAGAAACTCAAGGACTTGATGGATGGTTTTCAAGGATTTCGAGCCAAAATGCAAGCTGAGTATAAAGAAACTGTTGAGCGGAGATACTTCACCATTACAGGCCAGAAAGCTGATGATCAGACAATTGAGAATCTGATATCAAGTGGGGAAAGTGAAAACTTTCTTCAAAAGGCAATTCAAGAGCAAGGTAGAGGTCAGATTCTTGACACCATATCAGAGATTCAAGAAAGACATGATGCTGTGAAAGAGATTGAAAAGAACCTGCTTGAGCTCCACCAAGTTTTCCTGGACATGGCTGCTCTGGTTGAAGCTCAGGGTCACCAGCTAAATGACATTGAAAGTCATGTTGCTCATGCCAATTCTTTTGTCCGGAGAGGGACTGAGAATCTTCAGGAAGCAAGAGAATACCAGAAGGCCTCCAGGAAATGGACGTTTATAGCTATCATTCTGGTTATTGTCCTCATCATTGTACTTCTATTACCACTCTTACCATCAATTTTGGCTGTCTTGTAGGAAGATGAAGAAGAAGAAAAAGAAGAAGAACAGTGGCAAAAGAAAAAAAGAAGGAGGAGAAGGAAAACTTTTTTCTGAGAATTTTTTTCTAGGAAAAATACTTTTCTTTCTCATTTAACTCAAACTCGTATTCTGATTCTTACCCATTAGCAAAATTAGACCTTTCTTGTTTCCTCTCCCGGGTAGCAAATTTTTCAATGTTGTGCAGCAATGATGAGAGAGATTTCTTGTTTGATTCGACTCCAGAGGACCAAGAAAAGGAAAGTGAAAAGAGAGAAAACTTAACCATCACTTTAAAAATTGGTTCTTGAAATCCCCTGACCTAGACCCCATTGAATTTTCAGTTTTCATTTGATTTGGTTGTGGGGGGAGAAAGACACATTCAAATGTACACTAATGCCATTAGTAGTTTGATTCCAGTTGTTGAAATGAAAAACCCAATTTCAATTAGGTTTGTTCCAATTTTTATTTGTCATTATGTGTTTAGCTATGAAACAAGATGTAAAATAGTTTTCTAAGTAGAATATTTTTTGTTCAGTTTCGAAAAATATTTTCTTTCATTGATAACAATAGTGGGAAAATACTTAAAAAGTGATCTGATTTATTTATACATTCCCAAAATATCTCTAAGAACAATTTTTTTTTTCTTTCCAAACACAATATACAGACACATACAAACAAGTCTATATCTACCACCTTGGTGGTTTTTACTATACATTATATATTAACAAGTAAACAGACTATTATCATTGTGGTATAAGCCACCCACAAATTTTCATAACTGTGAAGATTCATGTACAAGCTATCCTCCAATATAGTTTCCTAATGCATGAATATTCATAATTATAGTAATAGGATAAAATAAAGTAATCATTAGGAAATCAGCCAAAAAAATTATATTGATAGCTCTGCATCATAATTATAATGCATGGATTTTTCTCTGAAATGTGCTTCTCTTGGTATTTGAATATATATGTTGTACTTTAATTCTACTCTTGTATTTTTACTCGTTAAATATTTGAAAAGATGGTTATAATGTATAGTACTTCATAAATTTTGAATCAAATTCAGTCCTATATTTATTTTCAGTATAATAAGTTTGTAACTAGGATACTATTATCACTCAAATTTATATTTTATGTTAATATTATATTCTCATTTTACTTTATAGAATTAGAATTGCAACCAAACTTGACTTTCTTACATTTTACTTGAAATTTTAACTTAAAAAGCTGCTAATTTTAATAAAAATTTACATAATTTTTCAAGTGTCAAAGCTAATAAAGAAAGTTTAGTATTTAAATGTTTTTCAAGCTTACAACATTAAGAACTGCACGAGTTTAGGAGATATAGTCGGTACGCAAATAAAATAGTGAATCGAGTAAGATAAATCAGTCGAATAAAATAGGAAAAACCACTGATGAACGAAGTTTTTTTTTTTTCTTTAATGTATAAGATTCTTTACTCACTATGTATTTCAAATGATTAGATAAAAAAAGAAGTAATATACCATGATCATAAGTTGTATCGATAACTGCTGAGATGTGGTTACTGACATGAATGTTGGCATTCATGATCTCTTGTGCTTAGTTTTCCATGCCAATACTAACATTCTGATTCATGGTAAAATAAAAATGTTACAGCACACAATGTATATTCATTCTATGAAATTAAAAAGAAAAGAATCATACTAAATTATTCAATTAGGAGACAAAAGAATTCATTTCATGGAGAATTTCTTTATTTCAATCAGGTTTAGTTTGTTCTACTCGGATTCAAATCCATCTCCTAACCAGAAATTTCTCCCCATGTATGGTTCTATTTGCTCGGGAAAGAATATTTCTCTGAATCTAACATCTTCTCCACATATACAAAACAACCATTAGAATACGTATATGTATAGATATATGATGCAGGATACACCTCTATAGACACAATAAATACATTTAAAATGTGTCTTCTGAGCAGGATATTAAAATTCCCAGGGCCTCCCCCAACCCACTGCATGCGGCAGAAAGCTTGTTATGAGGGCTGTTGACTCTTAATGACAAGAATCCAAGGCTCAGAAGCAAGAAAGCCTTCTATATCAACACTAACACAATGCATTAACTAAGTTAGCCCTAATCTTAAACACCCAAACACACAACATATTCATGTTAACGACTCCTTGTCCTTCTTATGATCCTGTAAGTACTAGAAAAAAAAAAAAACCAAAGCTGACAGGTTTTGGAATTCGCATGTATGTATTCAAGAACAAATTAAACATGTTGACTTGAATTTTTCAAAGAAAAACCAATTACTAACATAACTATTGCAATAAAAAAAATGAAATCGATGTAAGATAAGGAACTAAGAAGAGATTTTGGGTACAAAACAGGGCTGAAGCATAAAATTGATTCCTAAGAGCTAGTACCCCTCTTTCGGCGAGTTAAAATCCCTGAGCTGAAAAATCTCCCACTTCAGACCAAGTTATGGAAGCACCTTCCATCCTTATAATTCGAGTTGTCAAACCAGAAAGCTTGACAACAAACTACAATTATTCTCTCGACAACTAGACCGAGTACTCAGGACTCTATCCCATTACCTCTTTATTTTGCGAAAGCCATCCTGACCTTACCAATAACTATAGCTCAGTAGGTCATTCCGAAAGTCAGACCAGTGCTTCAACTTGAGATAGTACTTTTGGACGGATCACAACCTTGCTTTGGTGTTTGATCTGTCTTTCATTTCAGCTAATTGGTTTTTCTTGGAGAAACTCAATGCAACTAATATTTATTTAACTCAATATAGCATTGATTGCTTAAACTATGGGTTTGTTCACTTCAATTCCTATTCTATATTTTTTCCATTCATTACTAGGCTATCCTTCACATGTAAAACGATCTTATGATTCCCAACGTTTCATCACTTTTTGCTTCTAGCTTGAATTCTTTGAAAATGCAAGAATTTTCTCATTCCTACTTGAATTCCCAAAGAAATTAAGCTAAAGGTGACAGTTATACCCAAATGAGGAAAATACAAGACAGGTGCAACTTTCTTTTTTGAGATAAAAAGAATGCAGTATATTAAATCATTCGGCACCAAGGGGGTGCCACCCATTTACAAGATATTTTCATCTCAGTTAGCATAACGACATTCCCAAAATCGAAGAACCAAAAACATGTATCCATGCAAGACAAGTACAACTATAGCTCATGCAACTTGAAAATAGAGAATCATTAAACAGCAAAAAGAAATAATAGGTGAACTAATATTGGGATCGAAAGCCAAAATGATAACAAACATATCTTTTTTTTCAAATGAGCTCATGAACTGCAACTCCTCTGAACAGCACAAGATAAGACCTTCAGCTACCGCAACACAGTTAACCCCAGAATGTATAAGCCATTAAAAAATAAGAATACATCTTAAGTCATTACTGAGATTCTACTAGGTTGCAACAACAAATGAGAACATATGTATATGTATGTAAATACCAAAAGAAAAGTAACATGCCCGCTAATTTACAACATTACCCAAATCAGTCAAGTACCAGCATTTGGCAAAGCCGCCATAAATGAATTGTAGGAAGACTCAAGATCGAAGTGAAGTTGCCGAGCCTGCTGCTCCGTCAACTCATCTGCCGCCCCCATCTTCGCCAACCGAGAAATCCACTCTTTCATCTTGGTCTTGCCCTCAAAGTCAGGCGGCAATATACTCAGCTTGTTAAGTGAAGCTGAGAGATCTGATAACAAAGGATGCACTTGATCAACAGCCACCATATTCAGTTTCAAAGAATCCATTGCTGTGATGAAATTCTGCACACACTCAGCCACAATGGCGGCAGAGGTAGATGCAGATGTGGCTGCAGCAGCACGGTGCTCTACCGTAGCAGGCACGCCAGACGTGACAAGACGATTGAGGGCTGCTGGGCAGTCCATCTTGTATGTGTCTGCAAATCGCTCAATGCTCGGTACTGTGTCCTTGAGAGTGGAAGCTAAGGTCTTGAAATGTGCAATGAGCTTTTGGCACTCAGTTTCATACTCAGAGGAAGTGATGATATCACGAACATAGGCTTTCTCAAGCTTCTCGGTTGCCTTGATAATGGCATAGAGCTCAGCAAAGTTATCATACATTTCTCTCTCGCGCTTATCGTTCCATAGCTTGACCTCCATCTGGGTACTGGGGTATATTTATATACTTATATTTATATACACTTCTGAGGCTAGACCAGATAAGAAACAAAGACTTATCTTCTGGGTCTATATGGAGGATTGGAGAAGAGAATGGGACACGCGCAAAGAGACTAACTTTCCTCACTGTAACAATCAAGCAAAACAAATTCAAAGAAACATGATAATCAAATTCACGTTCAGAGACGAACAAATATAAACTCTCTTAAGCATAAAATCAAACACGTAGAGGGCAAATTTACAAAAGAGAAACATAACCAATAATTGCTTCCCTTTGGGGATTATGACTGAAATCCTGTTAATTAAACTAAATTAGAGAAATTAACAACCCCGTAAAACCTTTCTCGTTCCTTTTTCTACCGTTTCCTTTTCCCTTTCCAGGTAGCCAAACACCCACAAAAAAGTCATACGAAAAACAACGAACAGATTTCGAAATCACAATCGGAAAAAAAAAAACAAAAACATAACTTCAGATCAACCCACCAACCCAAGAAAGAATCTTTACCTTAAATCATCCGGAGAACGATGAAACCCCTATTTCTATAAAACATAAGCCGTAACTAGAGCCAAGAGGGTATTATACTATTATTATCAATAAAATTCCAAAAAAAAAAAAAAAGGGTACGGAGAGAGAGATATGAAAGAGATGACTTACAAGAAGTGAAACGCGGCTTTGATTGTCGTGCAGCTCTGTAATTTGCAGAGAGAGAGAGAGAGAGAGAGAGAGAGAGAGAGAGAGAGAGAGAGAGAGAGAGGGCTTGCGTGTGGGCTCAGGTATATTATTATTGCTTACGGCATCTACGTGTAGCAGTTGGGATAGGGTTCTGATAGAGTGGTCCAACCGTACAGTAAGATTCACGGGGATGCACGAGTTTTGTCCGTTGGTTTGTTTGACTTTTTTTTTTTAAGTTTCGAAAGTCGTATCATGAATACGTGAAATATGGCGGGCCTTCATGGGCTGGGCCTTTCATTATTTGGGCTTTTCCGGGTAGTGGTATTTGGGTCCATTTTCAATGGAGTTCATTTTCAATAAAAAAAAAAAAATCTCCAACATATTTTTTAAAGAACATATTATTATTAATTAGATTATAAATAATTGTGTCAGAGTTTATGAATTATTTGACATCAACCCGGCCAAGTCATTTGTTACGTTAATATAAAGAATATATATATATAATAATAATATATATTACTTGTATTTAAAGAATGGAAATTTCAAATTTTTTGAATATATCCTTAATAAATTTTAATTCTACTTTAAATAAGAATTCAAATTTAATTTATATATTAAACTATAAATTGTATAACGGGTATACATATATGCACATTTTATATATTTTAAAATTTTAAATAAAAATAAAAAATATATACGCCTAAATTAAGGAACTGAAACCCTAAACACTTCACGATCCAAAACGCAGCCTCCTATTCCGCGCTCGAGCCCTCGACTGCTGTCTGACTCTCCTCCGTTCTATCTCTTAGCTTACTTAATTCAAGTATTTATATCCACTCTGCTCTCGACTGCTCTGTGCTACCTTGTCTCGCGGGCGCCGTCGTTCGAACCCTAAATAGCGGTCTGTAACTCCGTGCCTGCTCAAATCAGCGCCTACCATGATTTGATTGATTGCAGCTGAAGAAAATGGTGGGAAGAAAGAGGAATCACAGGTGGGGAACTCAATGAGTATCAAAGTGAATTTCGAGTAACACCGAGAGCAAGACTGAGGTAGGTTTATTATTACTCTTTTTGATTGCCTTCACACAAATGAGTTAGGGTTATTTTATAGGAGATTCTCCAATGTTAGGAACATTTCCAAAACCCTAATGGATGTACATTTGCTGGCGCATTTGGAAGGTGTTCATTTTGGTTTTATGCGTCTAAAGTTGGATATTTGACTATTTCCTGCAGGTAAATGTCGATACCGCAAGAGTTTTATCCTTCTCAAGATGATCTTTTATACGAAGAGGAAATCTTGCGCAATCCCTTTAGTCTCAAACTTTGGTGGAGGTACCTGATTGCGAAAGCTGATGAACCTTTCAAGAAGCGTTTCGTTATCTACGAGCGAGCTCTGAAAGCCCTGCCCGGAAGTTACAAGATTTGGTATGCCTATTTACGGGAGCGCCTTGACATTGTCCGAAACCTCCCAGTCACTCACTCCCAATATGAAACACTTAATAACACATTCGAAAGAGCTCTTGTTACTATGCATAAGATGCCACGGATATGGATAATGTACCTACAAACCCTAACAGAGCAGAAGTTGATCACAAGGACTCGAAGGACATTTGATCGGGCACTTTGTGCACTACCTGTAACGCAGCATGATCGGATTTGGGAGCCTTATTTGGTGTTTGTTAGCCAAAAGGGTATACCGATTGAGACTTCCCTTAGGGTTTATCGCAGGTATTTAAAGTATGATCCTACTCATGTTGAGGATTTTATTGTTTTCTTGGTGAAGTCAAGCCTCTGGCAAGAGGCTGCTGAGAGATTGGCTTCAGTATTGAATGATGATCAGTTTTATTCAATTAAGGGGAAGACCAAGCATAGATTGTGGTTGGAGTTGTGTGATTTGATGACACGGCATGCGAATGAGGTTTCGGGGCTTAATGTGGATGCAATCATCAGGGGAGGGATTAGGAAGTTTACTGATGAAGTGGGAAGACTGTGGACTTCTCTTGCGGATTATTATATTAGGCGGAAGCTATTTGAGAAAACCAGAGATATTTTTGAAGAGGGTATGACAACAGTGATTACTGTAAGGGATTTTAGTGTGATTTTTGATGCATATTCACAGTTTGAAGAAAGTATGGTTGCTCATAAGATGGAAAATATGGATTCCAGTGATGAAGAAGAAGATGAAAATGAAGAGAATGGTGTTGAGGAAGATGAAGATGTTCGTCTAGATGTAAATTTGTCAGTGGAGAAGCTTGAGAAAAAGATGCTTCGTGGATTTTGGTTACATGATGATAAGGATATAGACTTGAGGCTGGCCCGATTGGAGAATCTTATGAACAGAAGGCCAGAACTAGCAAATAGTGTGCTTTTACGACAGAATCCTCATAATGTAGAACAGTGGCATCGTAGAGTCAAGATATTTGAGGGTAATCCGACAAAGCAGGTCTTAACCTACACTGAGGCAGTAAGGACAATTGACCCAATGAAAGCGGTTGGCAAACCTCATACGTTGTGGGTTGCCTTTGCCAAGATGTATGAGAGCCACAGAAATATAGATAATGCCAGGGTTATTTTTGATAAGGCAGTCCAAGTAAATTACAAAACCGTGGATCATTTAGCAAGTGTTTGGTGTGAGTGGGCAGAAATGGAGTTGAGGTACAAGAATTTCAAAGAAGCACTGGAGCTGATGAGGCGTGCTACAGCTGAGCCATCAGTTGAAGTCAAAAGAAGAGGTAATTTTGTCCTTCCTAAATTATTAGGGGTTTCATTAGGTTGCTTGGAATTATCATTTTCTATGTTTTTATTGCCCCATGGTTCTGTCCTATAATGGGTTTCGTACAAATATTACTAACTATAACCTTTTATCACGGTTGTCAAAAGTGGTCGAGTATATATACCAAAGTGTAACCAGAAATTCTTCTATTGTATTTTGTGTAGTATTTAAAACCACTACTTGAATCCTCATATTTTTACGGAGTTCATAATTATTGTTACTACAGTTTGATGCAACAATAATTTTCATAAGAAATTT